TGGGCATGCCAAATTGGGGAGTAAAGGGTTGCCCTATCGGCTGCAACATCAATGTGGGACCAGCAACCGTAGGGGGAGCTACATCATACCTGTCTCTTATACACATCTAGATGTGTATAAGAGACAGGCTAACTGCTACTAGACGGCCTAATATGGGCATGCCAAATTGGGGAGTAAAGGGTTGCCCTATCGGCTGCAACATCAATGTGGGACCAGCAACCGTAGGGGGAGCTACATCATACTGTGGCTGCTTGACTGAAGGTCGTGTTCAGCCAGCATCTCTTGCTCCATGGCGTGTACCTCAGCCACACTCAAAAGGGAGTTCCGAAGGGACAGTGTTACAAGATCGAGAACTGACTCATCTATAGCTTTTAACAAACCTAACTCCTCTCCCCTTGCTTCTAGTCTAGCTTTTCTAAGTCTTGCTCTGTCTCTCCTTCATTCTACCTCCTTCAACTGTCGTCGTAACTCTGTGTGGAGGGCATCCACCTGTTGGATCTCATAATCCTCATTTGGCATGGGCTGTTGCTGGCTGACCTGCAAGCCAGCAGACTGACTAACGAAAACTTGGGAGAGACCCTGAGTGACACCTGACGAAGAAGCCTGAGATGAGGCATGTGACATGGTAGAGGCGGTAGCCATGGCTGCCTCGACGTTGGCTCTAAAGTCTGCTGCTAATGCAGCTGCTGGTGCCCTTTGGGCGTTGGCTGCTGCTTCCCTAGCCCTCTGCAATGCCGTCTTCTCTTTGGCTTCTCTCTGCAGTCTCCTTTCCTCTCCGTGTCCTAAAACAAGGAAAGTGGTCAGCCGACTGAGTGCACATCTCCGGGTAAGCCTCCTATCGTCTTGGTTTAGTCCCTCAACCCACTATCATCTCCAATCATGAGCTACGTGTGGTCTGGGATCTCCACTCACGAGCTACGTGTGGACCGCCACTCGCCAACGCACAGGCGTTATCACTGCCCCACCATTATCCAGCGAAGCACCAAACAGCTATTGCAAAGGCCGCCGGCGGAGCGGCTCGAACCAGCTCTGACACCAAATTGCAAGGAAACTGAGGAATAGCGAAATGACAAATTGCAGATTGCAAAATCACATTGAAAGCCAGGAAGTCTGAGACCGTCCAGAAAGCAGAATTGCATCGATATTACACCAATGGAGAACCAAAACACTTAATCCGAGTGTCAATAAGAGCATACTCTCGCCATCACCACATAAGTATCCAGAGCCCTTCCTCCTACTTGGCGCTCGGTGCCCAGACTACAATCACACAGCTACTACCAGCCTATGAATTGACAATGCAACAGTTGACGTCAGCAAGAGAACCGATGTACATGAAGATGTCGACCCTTGTAGACTATCGCCAAGACCAGGTATATGCCCTCACATCATCATCCTCATCTCTCTCTCTCTCTCTCTCTCTCTCTCTCTCTCTCTCTCTCTCTCTCTCTCTCTCTCTCGTCTTCTCTACCCATGTCTTCCTCCCAGACACGAAGACCACAACCACCTCCACTGGCTATCAACCAAGCCAAGCCCGGCTATGGGGACTGGCTATGGCGCTGCCCTCAGCAGCGCCCTGCACCTCTCGCACGACTGCACGTGCGAGTGCATTTGCCCACACACTAGCGCAGCAGCAGCTCCGCATGCCCTTGCAAGTGCCGAATGTCTCCCCTGGCGCTCAGCCCTTTCCTATATGGAAAGTGGCGGGCGCTTTGCCTTGCCAAGCCCTCGTGAGACCGAGTGCCCAGTAGCTTCTTCAGTCTCGGCCAAGGTGTCTACGCCCAGGCCCGTTCAGACAGTGGCCTGGGACCGATTTGGTTAGGCATGTCCAACCTCCCAGGCACATTTGTGATATGTTCTCTGCTTACCCCATGTCGCTGGAAGGGCCTGGAAGGCTCATGAATCTTTCCCATTTCTCACATGCAAGGTGGATATGAACAACTGGCATATGGCAACTGTCTGGCGCCGACCAAAATTTGCAAAAAATTACGAGTTCAGGGCACATTGAGATTCAGGGGAGCCGCCTTCACTTAGGGCGGGCACGGGCCTGCTGCAGGGCCATATGCAAAGGGCTCAAACCCTCGCACATTTGTATCTCTTTATATTCTATTGTACATAAATAGATTGTAACCTTTCATCTTCGGTGCAAAAGTGCTTGATCAGTGAGCTATCACGCACTCTCTTTGAGGATGGCTGCTTCTAGGCAAACCTAATGATTGTCTTTGCACTCCCACCTCCTTTACCAGTTAGCGGACATTTAGGGGCCTTAGCTGGTGATCTGGGTGGTTTCCCTTTTGACGATAAAGCTTATCCCCTAYCGTCTCACTAGTTAACTGAAGTTCGTACCCAGTATTCAGAGTTTGCCTCGATTTGGTACCACTTTCGTAGCCCGCACCGAAACAGTGCTTTAGTGCAGTTAATTGCTACGCCTCAACGCATTTCGGTGAGAACCAGCTAGCTCGAGTGGCATTTCACCACTAACCACATCTCATCCGCTGGATTTTTAACATCGGTCCGTTTGGACCTCCACTTAGTTTTACCCAAGCTTCATCCTGCCCATGGTTAGATCACACGGGTCCAGGTCCATAGACAGTGACAATAGCCGTTCAAGAAAGTATGTAAAAAGGCTTGCTGTCTATAAGAACATTCTTATTTTGTCAAATTTCTTCTTCTAAAGCATGGTTCAATCAAGCTGCCGGATACTGGAAACAAGCTATTCAATTAGCTCCTGGTAATTATATTGAAGCACAAAATTGGTTAAAGATTACAGGTCGTATTTAGTTTTTTAGTTTGATTTGTAGATGGATTTTCTAAATAGCATAAGACGGTGAGGTAAACGCTTACCAAGGCAACGATCAGTAGCTCTGAGAGGATGATCAGCCACACTGGGACTGAGACACGGCCCAGACTCCTACGGGAGGCAGCACTGGGGAATTTTCCGCAATGGGTGAAAGCCTGACGGAGCAATGCCACGTGGAGATAGAAGGCCTCTGGGTCATTAACTCATGGATACCAGCTGACCACCCCGAGCGTTCCGCATCCTACGGCGAGGGCTGACCAGTCGGCGGAGCAGTTGTGAGAGGCCCATCCACTGATTGTTGGGGGGAAGGGGGGTATTGGGATTTGGCGGGTATGGGGGAGTTATTGGGGGCTGAGAGGGTTATGGTGGTCCTGCTTTTTTTTTGTGGGTGTCGACCAGCAGTGGACCGGTAGTTGCCGACAAAAGGACCGGTCGTGAAACGGTTTTCACCTTAGCAGTCGCAGATGCAGATCCCAGGGCTCGATCCCTAGACCTTACCACACCCGTGTACAGTATCGATTCGACCCCTGTGTGTTTGAACCCGTGACCTGTGTTTTGGTAGTTGACTGTGGCTTGTCGTAGGTCTGTGTAGCTGTAGGGGGTCGATCTGTAGATCTGTCGACTAGGGGTCATAGTTGTGTAGAGGCCGTAGCTGTAGCAATTCTGAAAGGTCAAGGTCGTAGCTGCTACAGTCCTGAAAGGTCAAGGTCGTAGCCTGAAAGGTCAAGGTCGTAGCTGCTACAGTCCCGAAAGGCCAAGTCCACAGACTTCCGGAAGGTCCGGAAGTGGCCTTTCAAGTTTTTCTCACGTTATTCACAGCAGACCAGAGGCAAGTAGGCAAGTGGTGAGTCCAACTTCGCTTAGTCAGCGGTACCCAGTCCCAGTCTCACTTTGTACAGTCAGCAAGTACCATGAAGGACTGTGTGCACCATGGGCCCGGTGGAAAAGGGCGGACCAGCGACTTACAGAAGTATAAATCAAGAGTCAGCGTCCAGCCATTCATGCATTCCTGCGTGAGCCATGCAGGAAGCGCTGTCCAGGCGTCTTGTGCGAGGTGGTCTGCAGAAGCCCGAGGTTGAAGTGGGCTGAAGGGAGATAGTTTGTCCATAGCCAGTAGTAGTAGAGCGGTCATAGCCGCTGTAGCTTAGAGGCAGAGTTCAGCATGTGTGTGTGTGTGTGTGTGTGTGTGTGTGTGTGTGTGTGTGTGTGTGTGTGTTTTGTACTGAGTTGGTGTGCGTGGGATATCCAGGGAGATCCAGAATCGAGTGCGTGCAAACGGTTGTGTGAATACAGTGTTGGACAGAGGATGTGTGAGCGCTCAGGCGCCGTAGCCAGTGGAAGCGAGTTTGTATCCAAACTGTGTTCTCGACTTGAATATCTCTGAGCTTTGTGTGGCCGCACAGCACCAGCGGGGATTGACCTCTGTTTGCATGTATGTGAAGAAGAAAGCGAGTCTGATTGCAGGTCGGCTGGTCAGTCGCCTACCAATTGAGGGGCAGTGACCGCCTGCGTGACTACACTGCCTGGCAGCTATTATCCTGCTGCGGCCTGAGGGTGAGCAGCAGAGCAGCTGGGGAGTCAAGATGGAACTTTGAGATGCGCCAGATGACCTCCACAACCATGCAGCTGGAGTAGAGGTTGAAGATGAAGGGTTTGGCTATGGAGATGAGCGCTAGCGCCCACATTGGGCATATACAGGAAGAGTACTTCAGTTGACCGATTGGAGGAAGAAGAATCGGGGAACAGTGATGAAGACTTACCTTTGGCTATGCCGGCCCACAATCTTCAACCCCATGAGTGAGAAGTTCTTTTGAGTGGGAAGCTTCACCCAAGAGTGTGATGATGATGCTCTATAGGAGAGAGGGGGTATTTAGTTTCTGTTGTCTTCTTTACATCCCACATGACTGGTGGGAGTGTGAGGCTAGAAGAGCTGGAAGGGGTTCAATTTTCAGAGCACTCACTAGCACGATCTTTGGACATTGATTCTTTCGATTCAATCATCTCTTCTTTTGGTATCATGAGCAATAAGAAAGGAGGAGAAGACATGATGGTGATGGTATGGTGGCCAGTGGAGGGGGAGTTGACATCAATAGTATTCTCATACTCTTCTCTCTCTCTCTCTCTCTCTTCTTTTTTTTTTTTTTTCATATGTGTGTTGTGACTCATGTATTTGCCTCTAACTAGGATCATAGCATTATCTTACCCATCCTAAATCCCAGCTGTTTGCCGCGGTTCGCCGTGCTTCTGCAAAATCGCAAATCTTCGAGAAATCGCTGAGATCCCACAGACTGAAGCAGCAAAGGCACATCCGTATGCAAAAACAAGGACACAGAATGCACAAACCAAAAGAGCAGCAGCGGTCAAACGACAATACAGAGCACATCACCAGGAGTAGAGGACCAAGCTGCGAGGGAAACAATAGCCCAGTAGCAAATGTGTTGCTTGTGTTTCACTACAATTTCTTAATGTTATTTTCTTCCTCAGGAGGCATTCTTCCTGTTACTGCAACCAACCATCTGCAATGAACCCAGACTGGAAGATACTCGTCAGACGTCGAGGTACCAGCTAACTCAGAACTGAACAATGTCTCCAATAATCGTGAAAGTGATCTCTGATACAATGTCTCGTTACCAATAGACAAAGACACTGGAGGGGGAATAGACAGGTAGGAGGATGGAAGAGATCATTAATGACCACCAAGAGAGTAGCCCAGTATTACCCACTCCTCCAGGAATAACCAGTCCTGATGTCGCATACAGTAACGGTGCAGACCAGAACAAGAACCGACCTCTCTCACAACGTACAAGATAGCGTAGCGGAAGACTTAGATACCAATGATCCGAGCAATCAATGTTGCAATGCAGCCCCAAACATACATCATCATCATCCCATGGTGTGAAGGGGCCTGGCGCTCACACAGGAAGAATGCGCCAGTCCCCAACCATACACAGACGACGAAGAGGGGGGTTAGACGAAGAAGAGGGGAAGATGGGAATGTCGTCAACACCAAGTCTTCGGCACAGGCCCCAAATAATCCCTCGTCAAATGTCTGAATCCCAATGTCGAGTCTGGATCCAATGTCGTCAAGTCCCAAAGTCACAACTCTCTCTCTCTCGTAGTCCGCAGATACTCTCTCGTAGTCCGCAGATACTGAGAAGTCAGGTAGCAAGAGGGTGAAGAAGAGATGGACTTAGAAGAGGAAGAAGGAGAACTCTCTCTCTCACTCTCTCTGTCCGGTACTAACCTGTGAAGTTGGCGCCTTGATGCAGGTACCTCGAAGGTGAAGCTGGAACTATGGCGGCACAGGTAAGTCTCCCTGGCCTCCGCCAGCCATCTCTCTCTCCAACAGTACTCTACTCCTACCAGCGCCCAGCGCTGAAGACTACCACTACAGCTACTAGCGCCCCGCTCCAAAACGGTGCGCAGGTGCTACACATGCTCGTCCAAACTCCAACTGTACACAAAGATGTTGTTGAGGTAGATGAGTACGAATCTATCCAGCATGTGTCGGAACTCCGTTGTCATAGCCGCTTGGAATATGGCCGGGGCATTCATAAGGCCAAACGGCATAGCCAGCCATTCGAAATGCCCATATCAGGTCTAAAACTCAGTCTTGTAGCGGTCCTCCTGCCAGATCTCGAGTTGGTGATATCCCGATTTGAGGTCAAGCTTGGAGAAGAACTTGGCGCCGCCCAGCCGTTCGAGGAGGTCGTCGATGCGCGGAAGAGGGTCGGCGTTCTTGACGATTTGTGCGTTGAGTTTGCGATAATCGATGCACAACCGCAAATCCTTGTTCTTCTTCCGGGCCATGAGAACGGGAGCTCCGTATGGTGAAGAGCTAGGCCGAATCCAGCCTTTCTCGAGAAGGTCGTCGAGTTGTGCCCGTAGCACACTTAACTCTTCCTCGCTCATGCGGTAGATGCAACCACGCGGAGGTACGGCCCCGGCCTCGAGGATGATCTCGTGGCGGATGGGCCGATCCGGTACTACTCCGTGCTGGGCTTCGAACACATTGTCGTAGGCGTCGAGAAGCTCGGTGATGCGTGGGTTCGGTGATGAGTTCGTCGATGGAATGTCATGGGACGGAAAGGCGTGGAGAAAACACACCCCCATCTCCTCGATGTCATCCCTGATGATGGAAGCTCGAATGCTTGTGGCGGACACCACGTGGCAGCTGATCGAAGGGTGAGGAGGAGGCACCGTGCATGGGACTAGTACTCCGCTCCGGTCACGAACGTGAACAGTGCGGCGGTAGAAGTTCACCGGGTGATCCTCACTTCGTAGCCATGACATGCCCAACATCATGTCGAACTTGGTGTCCAAAATGTCGAAGGACACGGCCTCGCTTGCATGCGGGGCAAAGTACACGGGGACGACATCAATGCACCGGTCGATTGACTTGTGCATGTGACCGTCGGCCAACGTGACTTGCGTGGGCTGCGACTTCCTCCGAACGCGTGGCCCAAGGCCAGCGCGTACCATAAAGTCTTGGCTCATGTAGTTGCGAGTAGCTCCGCAATCGATCAAAGCGCTGCAGGTCGCCTCTCCGATCTGAATGCGTATGTACAACAATGGCGCGACGATGTCGTCGTACCGTTGTGTCTTGAACTCGGGATCGATCTTCGCAACGTAGTCGTGAAGGTTGACAACCTCTACTTCGGCGTCCATCAACGGAGTTGGTACTGCAGTGTGCAAGTAATCCCGCAATTGTGCCATGAGCACGTTGCAATGCGGTTTCGGCAATTGGCCGGACGGGGGAAGGGGCATCAATTGGAAGTCCGCAAACGTCAATGGGTCGAGCTCTTCAAGTCTTGACCATGACGTCGAATCCCGGACGATAGATGGCGGCAAGAGGCTGCAACTAGGCACACGTGGAAACTGTTTGTTGTGACCAGTTGGACGTGGCACATGGTAGTGCAAGCCACCCTAGGGATTCACTTAGTTTACTAACCACTAACCAGACAGCAGATAGGAGCCTGCAGTAATTAGGGAAAAGGGACTATCATACTGTTAACTGTGCCCTCGCAGCAGTCAGGCGGTACACCTTGCTCCACGAAAGGGTTTGTCTAGAGGCAATCAGAGGGGAGGCAGATGGTGTACTACAACTAGTAATAAGAGAGATCGGCAATAGGCTGATTTGCCGCGCTAAGCAACTGAGCAGCTGATCGCGCTGCTTAGGACTGAAAACTGCAATGATCCGCTGCAGCGAACAAAGCTGCATAAACTACTCTTCAGATGGAGTGGCAATAGCATGCTTGACCGTGACAGATCTGACAGACAATTTTTCTTAATTAAGTGTGATCGGAAGTAAACTAGATCAGGTGTATGCTGCATTGAAGCCTGACAGAGTAATGAATGGAGGACAAATAAATGCTTGCCCAAGGCATATTCATCAGTTAGAACGCTTATTGGACTAAATAAAGTTGTTAACGGTACTCCAGTGATTCGTATGGCGTAATGGAAAACTGGTGTCAAAGTTACTACAATTGCTCTACTTCACTCGTGAGCAGATCTCTCTCACTGGTCAGCGGAACGTCCTGTCAGAATAGCGGTAATTGTGGCAACTTTCTGTCGAGACACGGCGACAGTCCCCGTATGTCCTATTCGGGCAAAAGGGCGGTATTATCCCTTGCTGACGTGGGAGTCGTTTAACTGGCGTGACTCTCAGTGGTGACGTGACAATTGCTTGCTACCACTGAGAGTTGCTGAGGTGGCAATGTCTTCAATGACTATCCCTGGCGAGGCGATGGGCTCGTAGTCGGCCGCAAGGGCTGAGAAAAGCGATTGTATTGACCGCGTGCACTCCATGTTGACATACCTGCTGAAGGCTGTTACTCTTCTCAGAAACACTTGGGGTGTACATTAGGGAGAGCCCGAATATGTACAAGCGGCCACGTTTGCCTGTTTAGCTCCACGCATTATTGATGGTGCACGCTGGTCTAATTAAATACAAGAAATCAGTTGTGCTCAAAGATGATCATCCAGATTACTGCGCTTGGCACCACCGGATTGAACACACCAATGAACTAATAGCAGACATCGAGATTGGGACGAGGGAGATAAATCCAAAGCCAAGCATGAGATAGAAAATTTGAAGTCAAGCACGAGAGCGGAATACTAATTTCGTGCAAGATGCCGGTAAGAGCTCGAGTACGTGTGACTAGGTTGGTAATGTATCTTCCCCTGTTCTTACTAAAGATCCAGTCTCATAACTGCGGCATACTGCGTAGCCACACGGGCCCTGCAGGGCCCGTCCCCGACATTCAGCCTAAAAGCCTAAAACTTAGGGCTTACAGGCCCCGTTCGTTTCAGCCTGAAAGCTAAAAAACGAGGGCCTGCAGGCCCTACCCCGTTTCAGCCTATTTATGGGTCTTTTCAGACCCAGAGTTTTCAGCCTGAAACGGAGGGCCATTTTCAGGCCCTCATGGTTTCGACCTGCCCCTAAGACTCAGGCACGTAAACAGGGATGCGGAACAGCCCAGAAATAGCCTGTTCCTCACGAGTTTGAGCAGGAGCTGCAGCTGCAGCCCTGCCTCCCTTCGGCAGGCTCAGGAGGCACACCCGGTAGTACATAGGAAGTTCCCATGCACTTCACGGGTAGGTAGTTCAGTAGGCACGGAGTAGTCTTCAGGATTCGGCCGCAGCACTCAGGAGGAGCGCTGCAGTAGTCTTCGGCGCTAGGCTGTAGTTAGCGCTAGCTGTAGTCTTCGGCGCTGGGCGCCATAGCTGTAGCTGTAGTCTTCAGCGCTGGGCACTGGTTGTAAAATTTTCTTTCAAGATCGCAGTTTGTAAAAGCCAAAACTTTGCGGCACCTAGCCTAGATCTCGTTCATAATACTCTTCTGACATATCCTGCTCATCATAAATCGACAGATATATACAAAAAAAAAAAAAAAAGAAGGAAGTAGTCCTCTTTTATGTTTTATTTTTTATTTTATCTGTTGATTAGGGCCGGAGGAAAGTATTGTTGGGTTGGTTACCTACCTACGTTTTCCCTCCCACCCACCCCTTGCATGCATCCTGGTTCGGTACAGCGCCACGTCAGCAGCGCCACGTCACAGTGCCAGATCAGCAGTGCCAGGTCACAGTGCCACGTCAGCAGTGCCACGTCACAGTGCCAGATCAGCAGTGCCACGTCAGCAGTGCCAGGTCACAGTGCCACGTCAGACTCAGTGCCACATCAGCAGTGCCACATCAGAGACACAGTGCCACGTAAGCAGTGCCACATCAGCAGTGCCACGTCAGACAGTGCCACGTCAGCAACATGACGGGCCTGCCAGGTAAGCAGTGCCACATCAACAGTGCCACGTCAGACAAAGTGCCACGTCAGACAAAGTGCCACGTCAGACAAAGTGCCACGTCAGCAACATGACGGGCCTGCCAGGCCAACTGGCCAATGAGCCCATTGCCGACTACAAAAAGCATGTCCATGCTCAGCTCGCTGCAATCGAGGCTGAGGAACAACGCCAGCTGGCAGTCAAGGCTGCCCAGCTACAGGCTGATGAAGCGGCAACAGCAGAGAAGCTGCGGCTACAGGCCTAAGCAGATGCAGATGCCCAGGCTCGCCGCAAGGAAGCCCAGGCTCTGCTGCAGCGGCATGAAGCCAGCAGCATCGAGAAACTCAAGTACTTGCATTTTGAACCAAACGACGACGAGCCAACACCGGAAGAGCAGCATAAGGAGTTCATGGCCAAGCTCGTGAGCAGGTTGGTTTACACATGTAACCACCTACAGTCCGAGCTGGCAAACCTTCAGCGGGCCGTGCGGAACCATAAGATTCARCACGAGGATGCCACACGGGCACTGGACGCCCGTGTACTGGGCCTGGAACAGGCTGTGCCRGRACCAGATGCTGGAGCTTCCAGCAGTGCATCCTCTAGCCGCCAACTGGAGGAACGCGTTGACCACGTCGTGGCAATGCTAGGAGACATAAGTGTCTTCACAGAGCCGGCCACCATCAGCCAGCGGTTCGAGTTGCTGTACACTAGGATCAGTCAGCAACAGCAGACAGACACAGCCACCACAACAGCTCGGCGAGGCCATACAAGATGCCGACGTTCCGGATCGAGAAATTTGATGATTACACACATCAAGACCCGGTCGTTTGGTGGCAAGGATTTACAACGGAGTTGGGGATTCACGAAGTCCCTGACCATCTGTTCATCAGTGCTCTATTCATTAACACCAAGGGAGGTTGTCACATCTGGCTCAGCCACATGGCAACCATCCACGGCGTCCAGGTTTCAGACATGTACAAGAAGGTCTCCTGGGAGGACATGACAAAGGAATGGAAGAAGTGGTTCATCGTCGACGACGCCCCGGCACTTGCCGTCAACCGCATCTTCACAATGGCTCAAGGGAGCACACCGACACGTGACTGGCTCACGGATTGGCAGACAATCGTGGCGACGCCCGATTTGGACTTGTCATTTCCGCATCTGCGGCGTGAGTTCTACAACAGGTCATGTGCCGCTCTCAGCCTCGCACTTGGTGATCGCGAGCAGTACAACACTTTCGCAGAGATCATCAACAAGGCGAGAGAGCTCATCAAGACTAACAGGCCGGCTGCACACGAGAAGTCCACGTGGCAGCCCACCTATGTGGAGAAGGTACGAACTAGTCCGCGACAGCAGCAGTTCGCTGCAGTCCAGTCGGACAGTGGAGATAACCCAGCAGCCACTCCAGCATCAAGTGACGGAGATCAGGTGGCTGCTGTCCAGCCGCGAAGCAACAAAAGTCCCGCAACAATGGGAAGGCGAAATCCGCATCACAGGCAGAAAATGGACAGCCAGGACAATTTCCATGGGTCAAGTTTGGCTTGACCGAGGCACAGTACAAGGTCCGCGGCCGCTATGGAAGCTGCTACTGGTGCAACAGCACCAAGCACAAGACCTCCCTGTGCCAAGATCAGGGCAAGGAGGATGTGCGACACCGCCTCAGCTCGGGAAACTGAGCTCCGCGGAAGGTGAGGCGACTCCACCTTCTACTCCGCCAGATTCGGCCGCCTTCCTAGCGGACTCCTGCACATCTGGGGAGGATGCGAATGTCGCAAGTCCTCGGTATACTTACGAGGATTATGCTGTCCACCTGGTTCCACCGCTCCACATGCAACAGTCCACCGCATGCACGGTTTCATCACCATCAGCAACCGATTCAGCAGCTTCGCCGCAATCTATCGTCGGGGATTCGACGGCATGGTCAAGACTTGAAGAGCTCGACCCATTGACGTTCACGGACTTCCAGTGGATGCCCATTCCCTCGACCGGACGATTGCCGAAACCGCATTGCAACGTGCTTATGGCACAACTGCAGGACTACTTCCACACTGCAGTACCAGCTCCGTTGATGGACGCCGGAGCAGAGGTTGTCAACCTTCACGCTTACATCGCCAAGATCGATCAGCAGTTCAAGACGCAACGGTACGACGACATCGACGCACCATTGCTGTACATACGCATTCAGATCGGAGAGGCGACCTACAGTGCCTTGATCGATTGCGGAGCGTCTCGCAACTACATCAGCCAGGACTTCATGGTGCACACCGGCCTTGGCCCACTCGTCCGGAGGAAGTCCCAGCCTACGCAAGTCACGTTGGCGGACGGTCACACGCACAAGTCAATCGACCGGGGCAGTGACAACGTCCCAGTGTACTTTGCCCCTCACACAAGTGAGGTGGTGTCCTTTGACATTCTAGACACCAAATTTGACATGATCTTGGGCATGTCATGGCTGCGAAGCGAGGATCACCCGATGAACTTCTTCCACCGCACCGTTCACATTCGTGATCGGAACGGAGTACTAGTTCCATGCACGGTGCCTCTTCCTCATCCTTCGATCAGCTGCCATGTGGTATCCGCCAAAAGCATGCGAGCTTCCATCATCAGAAACGACATCGAGGAGATGGGGGGGTGTTTTCTCCACGCCCTCCCGCCCCATGACGCTTCATCGACGCACTCACCTTCGGATTCACGCATCACCGAACTTCTCGACGCCTACAGCGACGTGTTCGAAGGCCCGCACGGAGTAGTACCGGATCGACCCATCCGCCACGAGATCATCCTCGAGGACGGGGCCGTACCTCCGTGCGGTTGCATCTACCGAATGAGCGAGGAAGAGTTAAGTGTGCTTCGGGCACAACTCGACGACCTTCTAGAGAAAGGCTGGATTCGGCCTAGCTCATCGCCATACGGTGCTCCTGTTCTCTTCGTCCGGAAGAAGAACAAGGACCTGAGGTTGTGCATCGATTATCGCAAGCTCAACGAGCAGACGATCAGGAACG